TTTCCCCCTAACCCTTTAGACCCCCCCCCCCTTTCTGATTGAGTTCACATTTTTTTTTTTTTTGTACCGGGGATTGAACTTGGGTCCTTGCGCTTGCAAGGCAGGCAGCAGAACAACTCAGCTATATCCCCAGCCCTTTTGTTTTGTTTTTGAGACAAGAATCTCCATACATATAGTCCAGACTGGCTCTGAACTCACTCTGTGGCCTTGAGCTTGTGCCTCAGCCTCCTGAGAGCTGGGATGACAGACGAGCACCAACATGCCCGGCTGAAGCCCAAGTTCTTTTTTGGTTTTTGGTAGCGGAGATTAAACTCAGAACCTTGAGCTTGTGAGGCAGGCGGTGGAACCACTGAGCTCAATCTCTGGCCCTTGAAGCCCACATTCTTGTGCCTTCCATTCTAATTCTCCCTCTCCTTCCCTACCCCCTCCAGTTCCCATTCTGGCATCGCAAGACCAGGGTGCTAAAATGGATGATCAGGATGAACTGGCACGGGCATGACTTCTTGGGTGGGTTTCTCTAATCACTCACCATTTATTTCGATGGGCGCTATAAGCCCCTAGAATTGTTCCAAGGCCTGTCCCGGTTTCCCTTGGACCTCATCTGCTCCTGAACTGCACCTGTCTGTTGAAAAGCATATGTGAGAAACTCCTGCCTGGTGGCACATCTCTGAAATCCTAGCGCTCTGGGAGGCCGAGGCAGGAGGATCAGAATTAGAGACTAGCCCCGGCAATTTAGCAATTCCAGACCCTGTCTCAAAAAAAAATAAGCCTCCTGCCAGGCGTGGTGGTGCATGCCTGTAATCCCAGCACGCAGGAGCCTGAGACAGGAGGATCTCTGTGAGTTGAGCCCAGCCCAGGCTACATAGTGAGTTCCAGGTCAGTCTCAAAAACCAAAAAAAAAAGGAAAAGCCTCCACGCTGGTCTTCATAAAGGTTATTTATTTATTTTCGTAAAGGGTCTTTTACTAATAAGACACCCTACAAAAATTTTGTAAAATAATCAGTAGAAAAGCTCTCTCACTAGCTGTAGACCCATTTGCCTTAAGAAAGAGCAGAAAGGCACTATGTTTAGGCCACAGGTGCACAGCCTGACTTACTATGGCTCCGACTCAGCAGTTCTGAGTTTTGTGTTTCAGACAGGTTCACTGTGTGTGGCCGCGGTTGGCCTCCTGCCTCAGCCTGAGTGTTAGGACTCGAGGCAGGCACCACTACCTCTGCCAGCAGTCTTGAGACGTCTTGCTATGTAGCCCAGGCTAGTCTCAAACTTGCAGTGATCCTCTTGACTCAGCCTCCCACGTGCCTAGATTACATGAGTGCACTACTATGCCCAGCTCCACCAGCAGTTGTTTTGTTTTGTTTTTTTAGGTATCGGGGATCGAACTCAGGCTGTTGCACTTACGAGGCAGGCCACAGAACCCCTGAGCCAAATCCCTGACCCATCTGCCAGCAGTTCTTAACAAGAAAAACAGTGACAGTGTTGGAAGAGCCCTCCAGTTATTAAGACGTATATGCTCCCCAACCCAAGGAAGACCAGTATGCTAACTGCAGAGGCAAGGGCCCTTGGCTCAGAGATGTGAAATGCCAGGTCTTGGATTTACACAACTGGTGAACAGGAATAGAACACCGAGTCTTGCTTCTTCAGTATCGTTCTATCCCACAACTGAACTTTCAGGGGTTACCGTTCCAGGCCACACCCCCACCTCAGCCCGTCCCCTTCCCCTCATTACCATGGCAAGTCCATCTCCAGCTCCCATCTCCCCAGAGCCAATGTGGGTCAGGTGGACAAAGTTCATTGGTTCCCCAATCATGGTCCGGTCAATCCGCTTTCTCTTCTTCTTCTGCTTTGAGAAGATAAAATCATGTCTGGAGGCCCATCCTCAAATCACAGTGAGGAAGAGGAAAGAGTCTTGAAGACCGCTAAGGAAAGGAAAGAGTGAGAGCCTGACGGGAAGAGGGGATGTGGCCCTGCAAGAGGGAAACCGTAGGCACCCGGATCACACGGGCGAGGGCAGCGGCCAGCTGGTGAACGCTGCACAAAGACACGGGCAGAGTCACCTCTGGCTGATGAGGAAACAGTGGGGAAAGCTGACAGGTAGTAAGCCCCGTGTGACCTGCCCCACGCAAAATGGATGGGGTCGGGGGTAAAAGCTGGACTATTCACTTCTTCCATCTTCCAGGCCCTCTTATTGCAGGTGCACATCTGCCTGGCCACACGGACCCTTTCCTGACCAAAGGGAGGCAGCGTGCTTTTTCAAGGAAGATCCCAGAAGGTGCATCTACTTCATAGCAGATGGTAACTATCTCCGGGGTGCGGGGAGACTCACCGGCTGGGGTTTCTCGACCACACAGCAGCCCAGTTTATGCCAAAATTCACTCATAGTCCTTGAAGGTGCCAGCTTCAATCCTCTGCCGGAGGCCCCCGAGGGCTCTTGCTCTGCTGCTTTGATGGCCCCTCTTCACACGCCCTGACACCAGCACACAGGGCCACTCAGCTGGCTGGGTTTAGAGAAGCGGAAGACCCTTAGCTGAGCAGCAAGGTCAGTGTCTCCGAGACTAACAGGGCCAGAGAGAGGTGGCCGAGCACAGGTTATGTCTTCCTCGGATCCAGAATGCTGAATTCAGAAAGTAAAGAGGAAAGTTAATGAGAACACACACACACACCCTAACCTTCAAGAAGCCTCCTGATGAGGCCCTGTGTTTCAAGTCCTCTCCTAGACACCCTAATCCTGTACCTCAACAATGATCTTTCCCAAACACAGGAAACTCTCAGCTTGACTCTCAAAAGGAACAGAGCCGGGGCCAGGGGGGTGTAGCTCAGTGGTGCCGCTACCTGCCCTGTAGCCTCGCAAGCACAAGGTCTTGAGTTCAATCCCCAGTGTACCAAAAAAACAAAACAAAACAAAAAAAAAACAAAAACCCAACATCAAAAGGAACAGAGCCAAAAGGCTACCAAGGGGGTAAGGGGCTGGCACCAAAGAGAGGAAGAGGGCTAACAGGACTTGGGGTGAGGGGATGGGGAAGTCCAAAGGACAGTGACAGAAAGGAACAAAGGAGGTGCAACCAGCTCCCTTGGTTTAGGGTAGAAGAGGAGGAGCAACTGAGTGACTCTAAAGAGGAAATAGTGGTTTTTGGTTCTCACAAACAAGGCCTCCACCCTTTTTCTTACCTGGCCGTGAACACTTAAATTTTCTTTAAGAGCAAGAGGTCTTGACCACCGAGGTTTTAGGAGAGGCTAGCTACAGCAGGCTGGACCTCCAGGAAGACTTTCTACAGTGAGAAATCTTTCCCTTTCTCAATGTGTTGCCCTCGTTCCTCCTCACTGCACTCAGCTGAGATCCAACCCCTCCCAGAAACCATTTAGCAGCTCCTTTATTATCTGACCTTGAGATCCTTCCTGAAGGTTGTATACACTGTCTAGCTGGGTCGTGTGTCGACACCCCCTCCCGGGGTGTTCGCATATTTGCACGCACGCACACACACAGCATGCTCACATCTCCCTGTCTCATACAGACATCTGTACACACGCCAAGAGTCTTTCTGTCCCATAAGGCATCACTTTCCAGCCTCCCCACCCTCTTCACAGGTACAGTTGTGCAGCTTGCTCTGCCCCAGTGCTGCAGGGGCCAGGGCCTGCCCTCTTCCCCTCATGCTGTGACCTGTTCTCTTCCCTCCTCCCCAATCCCACCCCCAGGCTGCACCCAACCAGACACAGGAACTTTCCAGGAGCGTCACTGTCCAAGGAAGAACTTTCTTTCCTTCTCACTACTGCCAGCCAGGGTGGGCCCATCTGCACATCCCTGTCCTACATTTCCCAGTCCCACAGTGCAAAGCTACCAACAGGACAGCTTTGAGAATATCACACAGGAGCATGAACAGGAATCACCTTCCTTCTCAGCCTGGGCCCTGCCTGGCATCCTAGACTGAGCCCCCACACGCTATGTTTTGTTGTGTTTTTAGCAGTCTTGAGAGGAGATCACACAAACACAGATTCTAGGGGAGGGTCTGGGCTTTCTCTCACTTCCCTTCCCACCCTTGGAAGGGCGGAGTAACCAGGCCGGAAATCAGAACACAGTCGTCTAGAGAGGGAGCCGTCCAGTGGGGAAGTTAAGTCAGTCAGTCACAGGGTTTGTCAAGATGGTGGAGGGGGGCAGGTGGGAAGGTTTGGAGGGAAATGGAGAAAACAATGAAGAATCAGAGGAAACCCCTGACACCACCACACAGTCTGTACTGACTGGACAGTACATTCTCCCCTGCTCAGAGCTGAGTGGACAGGGGTGGATGGTGCTGGGAGGGGAGGGGAGCGGGAGCCAAAGGGGCAGTGGAAGAAACAAGGACGTTTCTGTTTCACTTCCAGGGACCTAACCAGAGCTGGGTGGAGGGAAAGTGTGTGTGTGTGGACTTGGCAAGGCATGCCCAGTGAGGTTGAGAAGTGACCAGGAAATTCCATTCCCTAGGACATTAGGGTCTCTGAAACTTGGGGGTGGGGTCAGGGCGTGAAAAGGGCAGGACGGGGCCAATGCAGTGGAGGGCTGGGGTGGGGCGAAGGGGAACAAAGCCAAAAAAGGAAGTGAGGGCAAGCGGCTGTCACTCTCTTAAAACTGCTAGACAAAAGTAGGGTGAGGAAAACGGAGTCCCGAGCAAGGTAAGCAGAGGAGGAGGAGGTGCCAGAATCCACAGCCCCTATTTCAACTCCACAGAAGGGTCTGGGAGACCAAGGAGAGCCACATCCCACAGCCGAACAGTGCAGGGACCGTGCCCCTCAGTCCCACAGCAGAGTGAAATATGGAACTAGGAAAGACACCCCTCCATCTCCACCACCACCACCAAGGTCACGCTGGGGCTCCAGAGCCCAACCTGCTGGGGGGTGACCATGAGAGGGGACCGCGGGAGACCCGTCCCAGGAAGGAAGGATGTACACCGGTAGTTCCTGGGGCCCGTGCTAGCCCCAAACCGGTTCTCCCGGTCCCGCGGCCTTCCGCCCCACCGCCTCCAACCCGCTGCCCGACGAGCCTTCACAAGGAGCAGCTGCGAAGGGGGGGGCAGAAGGGAGGAAGCAGTGGGCAACTCTGGCTGTCAGCCCAGGGCCACAGCTGGCCCTGCTTGGAGACCCCTCACTCGCGGGGCCGCTGCAGGGCCTGGAAACGGGACGGGATCCCACACGCCAGCCAAGCGACCGGCACCTGCCCGGACCCAACGCCCCGCTCCGCGGAGAGGTCCAGCGGAGGCTCAAGGGGAAGGAGCCGAGCACCGGGCT